GGTTTATTTTTATATCTAATTATTCAGCATGCTCTTGAAGGAATATTGCTGTTTTCACTTCTGAAATAGTGGTGTGACTTGTATCGAGTGTAATTTGTTTCAACATTTTTGCTAAACCAAAACACACCAATGTGTTTATTTTGGAGAGGTGGGGAGCAAGTGGCAAGGATTGGCTACAAGATCTTTTTCTTCCCTCCGTGGATTTGGGTCAAGTGTTTACAGATTCAGATCTGCCGTCAGAGCAGCGTCCACCCAAATTTGCTGCCAGGAATGAACTCCTTTAAACCTGGAAGGTTTTTAAGGTGACCATGAGTTTTCAGCAAGAGAACCTTCCTGTATATTTTTGAATGCAAAAAAAGCCCTATTGGTCCGGTAAATAATATCTCATTGCAGAAATCATGAACTGCTGACTGTCTCTGCATCATGAAATATGGCAAGTGTCAGGGCAGTTGTACTTGCACTGATTATACTGCAGTTCAAGCTCACTTCAGGCTTGGATATGGGATTCATTTTTCAGTCATTAACAAAAAGATTTGGGGAAATTATTTTGCCGAGAGCAAGAACTTCTGGCACCTGACTCTCAGAGAAAAGTTAATATTACAAAATTCCTGGGATCTAGAGCCATTATAGAGGTGCTTCAGCTGAAAGGAAGCAGAAATGGATTAAATGTGTTATTTATGGTGAAGGCAGGGCTTTATGGTCAACCAGGAGCAGGCAAGTGTTGGGCAGTTGACAAAACTGATCAACCAGTTACATAAGCAATGAAATACCATAGTGAATATCCTGTGGTTACCCTATACTTCGATTCTAAGAATTAACTTCTTTTCCCTGATAATTGGTTTCCCCCCCTTCATTTCTGGGTGCTGCTGTAAAGGTCTCTAATGTCTTGTATCTCCTTTAGGCATTTTGACCTCCAAAAATAAGTAGTGTAACAGGCAAATCAGAAGCTAAACCTTTCCCATCCTTCTTAGGCACAAATATTTAATAAAATGCAAAAGTGGTAAAAACTGGCAATGAGGTCCTTCAAGGTAATTTTTTAATGTGAAGCTTGCATTCAATGCTCAAACACAGGTTCTCAGAATTGGAAATACAACATTTTCTGTATTTGTCACCTAATGGATAGAGATCCCAGTCTCCTGAAGTTCCCTGCCAGTACTTAAAGGCAGCCTATAAGAAAGATATGGAGGGACTCTTTATCAGGGAGTGTAGTGATAGGATTTTAAACTGAAAGAGGGTAGATTTTGATTAGATATATGGAAGAAAATCTTTACTGTGAGTGTGGCAAGACACTGGCACAGGTTGCCCAGAGAAGCTGTGGCTGCCCCCTCCCTGGCAGTGTTCAAGGCCAGGTTGGACGGGGCTTTGAGCAACCTGGGCTAGTGGAAGGTGTCCCTGCCTATGGCGGGGGGGTTGGAACTAGATGATCTTTAAGGTCCCTTCCAACCAAAACCATTCTATGACAACATTCCCCCTTGAGGCAGGTCTGCTTTGCTTTCCCAGACCTTTGCCCCAGAGGCTCCTGGGCTGCCCTTCTCCTTGAAGGACAGGCCCAGAAGGGCAAGAAACTTCAAGGCAAGGGACATTGTTTTTCCTTGTCCATGCCAGGACAGAATGTGTTTTTCCTAGTTTTCTGATGAAAATCCAATGGCTGTGATGATCATAACTCAGTAAGGCTGGATTTTTTTTTTTTTTTTAAAAAGGGCTGAAATCTGAAGCAGAGACTCTCCTGCTCCAACCATCCCCTGCTGTGCTCCCTCCTGACAATCATCAGTCCCCGGGAACTGAACCACAGCCTGAATGAGCCCCCCCATCACTCTGAGCTACCATATGCCTTGTCTCTGTGACACCATTTGTTTTCTTTTACAGCTATTTTCATCTGTTGTTAAACATTCCTCTGAGATGAGACCTACTTTTATCCCCAGCCAAAACCCATCGCTGGCTCCCTGGGTGGTATACGCCTGCCTCTCTCCTGGATCCAAGACGCTGCAGCTGCATCACTATGATCTTGTGTCAGGTCTCCTCTCTCTCTTTCTCCCCTCCAGTCAGGGTTTTCTAGAAAGGCAATGCCCTTCTTTCAAACCATTAGCAGTAAAGCCTGTGAGTGCTCACTAGATCAAAACCTAGAGCAGGCTTACCTATGCAAAGCACAGTTTTTACTTGAGAAAGGGTAAAATAAGAATGAGCTGATAGCCTGCCTCTGAACCTGCTCAGATGCACTTGGATGGAGTAAGAACATCCAACTTGTCTGGATATTTGTTTGATCCAAAACTGGATCCTTAAGGAGACGCATTTCTGATCAAACACAGCCTGAAGGAGAAATGCTATCTATGGCCTGGCATTTCTTTCAGTGAGGTGGGACAGACTTCTCCTAACCCAGATTTCAGCTCACCAGATGCCAGTGGCAGTTCTCTGCCAGCCAAAAGAAAACCGACCCAGCTGTAGCTGCAAGCTAGGTACAGCTGCCAGTAGGTACCTGCAGACTCCCCCAGAGTGTCTGGAAGTGGTTATTTACTCAGCGTCAGTGTCCCGTGTTGATATCACTTCTCATGCATAATGCATCCTCTGCTGCCTGCTGCAGGGCTGGAGAAACTGGAAGCACAAATGTCCTGTCCCGTCATTGGCTAGTGTTAGGTTGTGGGATTGACAGCTCGTTCCCATGCACATGAATGAGCAGAGGCACCATGAGAGGCAGGGGCACCCCATACCCTCACCAGACCCCTGACAAGGCTGCTCCCAGGGCTGTCACAGGGAGCCACCCCAGCATCATGGGCAGTGGCAGAGGCTCCCCATCAGCTCACAGACGGGGGGGTGCTGCCGGCAGAGCCTCAGGGGGCAGATGGCTGGCACTGTGTTTTCTGCCTGCATTGATCAGCATCCATGGGACTATGTGCTCAGCCTCGCCAGCGGCTGGGCACAGGTACCCAGGGCTGTGGCAGCCTGGCCTGATCCAGCAATAGCTCTTTTCCATTGCAACACTGAAGCTGTGATTCTTTCACAGCTATAGACACCCGAGCTGGCTCCACACTAACAAGTTGCATCAAAAGCTATAGCCGAGCTGGACTCATACACACAACGCGCTGTGCTCTTCCCACACACGAATTTTAATCCCTAGTAGCGCTGTACTACATGAATTTACCACCTGGGGTCAGCACCAGCTGAGAGAATTTCAGACGTTATCCTGTTTTCTGCACAGACATGCACTAAAAGAGCAAGAAATGGGAAGGAAAATGCTCCTCTGTACCTGAGTGGACATAAGGAAGGTTATCCCAAGTCTGTACAAAACCCTTTTTATCCTTTTGCATCGGTAGCAGATGCAAGAGATGCCCCCTGGTAGCCTGTTCAGGGAAGAAGGCTGCGTGCTGAGGAAGGGGTTAGGCACAAGGTAGGATACTCTGGCCGGACTGAGTAACGCCACTCCTGGAAGCAACACAAGTGGTGTTAGTGCTCAAAATAATGTTTCTCCTGCTGAGCTGAGGTCAAGGGAGCTTGCAGAACCATGAAGGGGCACCCCAGAGATACTGCTTTGAGCACAACGAGGCCACAGCTTTAGATGAGGACCTTGCCCCAATTGCAAATGCTAATTCACTGCTGGCCAGAAATTACTTTTAAGCCATTTTTTAAATCTGGACTGGTTCACATAAAAAAAGTTTAACTTCATAAAAAAGGAAGTGGTGGCCAGTAGATTAGAAAGTAAATCTCAGGGTTACTTTTAATGCCAGTTATTTTATGTATGGACCACATTTTTTGTTGCTCTGCTGGCAGAGCAACAGGAAGAGGAAGAGCAGAGAGGCACTAGAGCAGCATGCAGATCTACACAGCCACCCACAGAGCCAACAGCCCCCATCCCGATGCAGGAAATCCCCATTCCCCTTTCACATCTTTCCAGATCATTTGAGGAGAAATCACTTACAGCAGCTGCAGGCTCTTCCCAACATTTTCTGCTATTTGACATCTCAGTGACTCAGCTTGAGCATGTCGTCTTCTTTGAAGATTTCTCCTTTTTTCTCCCAAGCAATAAGGATTATTTTTTTGTCTACCTGCCACTTTCACTGCAGCTTTTTTGGACATGGCCTTTTCAACTTGCCTCCACCAGGGATGTAAATTAAGGTTGAACACAACTGCCTTAAATCTTGTGGAGCCCTGTAGCCAAAAATGGTGAACTTTAGGAGTTTTTCTGTCCAAGAAGTAACAATCTGCCTGGTGAACTTGCCTTTTCCTCACCCCAGCAACAGCTTGCAGTCCACCCGATGGAAACTTCCCTCCACAGAACGAGATGCAGTTAGGTGGGAGTGCGAGGCACCTCCTTCTTTCCCCTTCAGACATCACACAAACACAGACACAAAATGTCACAGAAACAGAGATGGGGACTGCTGGCTCTTGCAGTCAGCTTCCCTCATCCAGAAGAGAAGACAGTAGGACCCCGAACCCAACGGGAGTTTGAGGGGGTGGAAGGGAAAGGACAAGACTAGAGCCAGACAAGCTCCCACACACAGAAAGGCAGAAGGGACTACACCACCTTTTCTTTTGCCAGAGGATGGTTTTGGTCTGGCTGCCTCTCAAAACCAAGCAAAACCAAAGGACCTTTTTAACCCAAGGAATCAGAAGGCAGCACCTCCCCTCCACCCCACCCAGTGGTTGTGAAATAAGACTCTTTATGCCCCAGACTGTAAGCACACGTTATAATCTAAAGTTTAGAAGCAAAGTGAATAAAGTCAGTTCTGATTTTCTCATTCTTTTTCAGGAGAGAGAGACCAGAGTTCCCCCGACCCCATGTTTTAACAGAGAAAGGAAATGCTTTTAGAAAAGTGAGTTACCTTTAATCTTTATTCGGACAAAGAAAATATATATTTAACTAGTTCTGATGCTTTAATTGTGTGCCATTGCACAACAATCCATACTTACACTTGAATCTGCATCATTAACTGTTAAGTTCCATTTTATACCCAGGAATAGATTCAATGGCTTGGAAAAAAAGGGAAGAAAAATCAATACAAGATGTATCACAAAGTGGTATAAAATAAGATTTATTTGCAAATCATTTTGACAATAACGAAACAGGTATCTCTGAGCTGTGCATTTTGGGGATTACATGTTAGTTCCTTTGCTTTCTGAGATTTCCATTTGCATGCAATATGGGATACCTCTAGAATTCAAAATGAACTTTGAAGTGTCCTTTTTTGCTGTGCTGTGCTAAATAATTCCTTCCACAAGCACACTATAGGAGAGTCAAAGTCTTTGTAATAAGCTGTCACAGGAAATGCACAATGTAACAACCTTGGCTTAGAAAGAACTGTTGCATGAGAGCTGTTTCACATTTGTTTAACAGTGTTAAGAGCTTCAAGATTCCCACAAGTAGTGACTGGTGCTTTACGTAAAAACAAACAACAAAAAAACACAACAAAACCCAAGAAAACCCCAAAACCCAACACAAACCAAGATCTACCCCTAAATCCCACAGCTATACTGAAACCTCAGAGTTCTTTCTGATGTAGAAATGCACAGTACATCTGGTTATGACCTGAGTTTCCTCTATTGGAAGCTAGAGCTGTGTCTCACGTTAAAAGAAGTTCAAGATTTAAAAATAATTACTGTATATAAATGAACCTAGGACAAAAGCAATACAAAGTGAGAACTGATTTACCTTAGTGCCTGATTGTGGGAGGGTAACTTCTAAATTATGGTTAGAGCCACGGCAGTTGGAGAAGAAGACAGCAGTATCTTCGGAATGTGTCTTCAATTTCCATCCTTCTCCCCGACCTTGCTCTCTTTGTCTTTCAAAAAGCCAGGAAATTTCAACTTTGAAGTCATATTTTGGATTAGATGAGATAGGAATTGTATTCCAAGAGCCCTGTATGATTACGTTCTGAGCAGACCACATGAAGTGTATCTTGTTTTAGGGGAAAGTCCAAAGCAACCAGAAAACAAAGTAAGTGCTACTCAGAGAGGAAAATCAAAGAATCTGAACTAAATCTATTTTCCATACAGTTCTAGAAAACATTTCTTTTTATAACAAAAAGGGGGACAACTTCTGTTATAAAGCTCAAAAAATCCCAATATTAAACACTGGAAAAAGTGTGTTTTTCCTCCCATAAATATAATGCAGGAAAAGAGGTCTAGATGTCACTGTCACCAGTTCAAATAAGGCATTAATGAATGCATTAGATCATTCAAATGTAAACAAACATGTTATGTAAATACACTCAAAATATTATAAAATAACCTTATAAGGGTAACAACTACTGTATTGGTGACAATCATTTCATTTAAGTATTTAGGCAACAAAAACTGGAGAGAATAAGACTCTCAGAGACTTCATTTTATTTTGGTCTACTTTAGAAAGACTAAAACAAGATCCACCTGAAAGCTCTTGATCATCAGTCCAGATGCTATGCCACCATGGGGGTCTCCCTATCCCTTCTGATGAACCTAGTCCATCATTATGGAATATACTTGGCCATTTCATATCAGCCATTACTGAAGTGATCCTGAAAACAAGGCCCAGAATCTGGGAATCTCTTTAAGCTGAATGCCCTAGCTAACATCAGACTGATGATGTTCTGAACTGATGAGCTTCTGTACAAGCTCAAAACTGAAAGAAGGATAAAGATTTCAGAACAAATCTTATGTTGGCAAACATTGCCCTCTTCAATCCCAACTCAGCCATCTTCAGAGAACAGCAAGAATTTACAGTTACCTCCAGTGGTTACACTCTGCTATTAGACAGCTCCCAGGCTTTACTATCTAAGCCACGTGTATATCCCCATGTTTGTGGTGTAGTCAAACGTAAGTACAGTTGAGGTTTATTGACTTCTCATTTGGGCAACAGAGATGCACTGCAACAGTAAAGCTGCAGGTGCTAACATTCTGTATCAGCCCCTAGATTTAATGGTTTTAACACTATTTTTGCAAGATAAAATTTGGAATCTTAACAAGATGTGACAAAGTTTGGCAAAACCCTAGTCTGGAAATCCACTATTTGCTGAGGAAGTATGGTATTTACTGAGAATGTGAATTAGTTCCAAGCATACTTTTTTTAATAACAACACTTTAAAAAGACCCCAAGCAGTCTGACAAGTTTTGTTCTCTCATACACCAGATCTGAAACCTAGAAATGCTCAGGCTTTTTTAGAAGTCTTGTAGAAGTGATCAAGTTCTCAAATGTCATTGAAAGTTTTGGCAGAATAATGTTATATGAAATCCATAGTACACCTGCTAATGTTTATAATCCGATGATCACTTGTAAGAAGTATTATTGCATTTTAAGCGTAAAAATATAGGAGGTTCTATAAAGAAAATTAAAATAGCATTAATCTAATATTGATAGTCATATAAAATAACTCACAATTATGTAAGTTTCCATATTTAATTACACATTTAAAAATAAGTTATAAAAATAATTAGACTTCTTTAAAACCCCCAAGATACTTTCTTTTAGGAGTTTTTACTCATATCTACTGATTGTCTAGCATCAGCAACAGCTTCTGGTACTCGAACAGTCATATCATCCATTGACTTCTTCAAGCAGATTTGGCAGCCTAAACGTGATCTGTAGGGAAATACGACATTGTCATTAGTTTATCCAATCATCTATTTCACAGCATTTACCCCCTTATGCCTCCAACATTCAACCTTCCCAAACACATTATGATCTGGAAACAGCAACTCTTGTGCATGGTCTTAATCAAGACCAATAATGAACTGCATGTATCAATGCAAAGATATATCTGGCAATATTCATGATTTACATTAAATAACAGAGTTCAGTACATTGGAGAGTTGTACACTGAGAACATCCTAATTGCTGAGACAACGTATAGTAATGGTGACCCTTCCATTTTTGGTGGGTCACTAATAGTTCAGTCAAGTGCAGGGAATAACACTTGATCTCCCAAGGGACATCTCTGAAGAGACAAAGGCAATGAATCTGAAAAAAATCTTCAGGAAAAGCATAGCATAACCCATCCAGGGTCCAATGTTTTCAAACTGAACAACTCATGATTTGGGTCTTAATTCTAAGAAAGGTTAGAATGAAAATACAGGAAGCACAGGGAGAAGGATAAAATACTCATGGCACCTGAGGAGATGCAATCCTTTGGTTTTCTACGCATCATTCATCATGAAAAAGTGTTGTATGTGAGCAATTAAAAAAATTAACACCACAACGAAATTCTGCAGACATCACAAGTCACTTTTATTGCTGGAATATCTTTAATTCAGTGTCCACACCTTGATACTTAAGTATAGAATACTAGTATCAGTAAGGATGGGCAATGTTCTGTAGCAGCAGTTGAATTATTTAATCAGTATAGGAACATAGGCAGAGATTATAAAAAAAATGTACTACATTAATATCTATACAGAATTCTTTCAAGCATGTAGTGATCAACTGCTGTTAAAGCTCTCAATTCAGTACTATACCCAAAAGTAATAATTCTATGTAAATGACTGCAGACATCAAATTCAAATGTATGTATAAATACATACATTACCAGAAGATTTAATCTCATGAATATGCATCCATAGAATATATATGAAATCTGTTACAGATGCAATTTCTGATATTTACATTTAGCATTGTCCATAAGGCTTGATTTTACTGAAGCGTCTGTTTTTCACTAAAGACCAATACCAACTGCTTATGTACTCTGCAGGGCAGCAATGGATTCACTTCACATGTATAACATTGCCCTTTGTTTTGAGCCTGCTACACAGCAGTACAAAAAAACCAGGCAGCACTAAGTAACACTGTGAGAAATAGACTATCTTCTCCTATTCAAATAATTCCACAGCATTTACAATTTTATATATATCTAAACAGATTCCCCCTCCCTTAAAACTGAAGAAGCTTTGACACCCACTCCACCCCCCCCAATGATTTAGTCAATCCCCACATAAAAGCCATCTTCCCTTTAACCACTTCTACCGGCCTTCCCTTTATTTGCTCTCATTCTATTACTATAAAAGAGAAAACCCAACAAAACCGGAAGTCAGAGCTGCACAAGATATAGTGAATCCCCATTTTGTCATGTAATGATATTTTCTGGTTTTCTACCTGTTCCTATCAAGTATTGCCAACGTTCCATTTACCTTTGAGGTTCTGGGGGTTTGAAGGTTGCTTTGTTTTGGTTTTGGTTTTGTTTTTTTTTTTGGCAGGGTTTTTCTTGTTGTTGTTGGTTTTGGTTTGGTTTAGTTAGTTGTTTTTTTTCTGAACACCAAAACCACTTCTCCATATGCATTTATCTTCACCTTTTAACACCAAACTTTGTTTCCTATCACCCAATGGCACAAAATCCTTGTGCATGTCTTCACTGACAGTTTTCAGTTTTACTGCACTAACAGCACTATGCACAAGCCTTACTCTTCATTCTCTTTTCCCAAGTCTTTCACAAATGCACTCACTACGTAAAACCCAGCACCAATCACTTTTAGATCATACTCTTACCAGACAGTCAAATACTTCTACCTCATTAAAAGAGAAATGTTTGGTTTTTAACCAGTTACTTATCCTTTACAGGGCTTTTGCTCTTATCCCATTGCAACTCAAAACTTAGTAAAGGATTTCTGGACCTAAATGAACTACATGAACTCTAAGATCTTTCTTCATGCTCAGTGACTCATCTGAAGAGCTCTCATATCTGTTACATTCCTCTACAAAAGCTCCGCTGAATTCTTTCCTTACCATTACCCAGTAGTAGAAACTGTAAAAAAGCAGCAACCCGTAGACACGATTAACATGTCCAGTATGGAATCAGACTCACTGTTCTCCAGTTCCTATGATCTCATTTTAAAAGTTGGGTCGCTACCTTCCGTTACTTTGATGTGGAAGTAGTTTTAAACCAACTAATTAAGCCTCATAGACAGTAGTTCAAAAATGTCATATTGAATTCCTATTCCTGTGTGAATGCTATCTAGTCATTACCATTTGTTTCTATTCATTTTACTTATTTGCTATAATACTACTTCTATGGACACATCAGTTTGATACAGATACTCCAGGAAGCCCTCCACAAAGAAACCTTCCAGTGCATGGATATCCTGTAACATCTGTAGAGACAACAATGCAAAAAAAACCCCTTTGCTTTTATGTTATTTATATTTTAAGTACACCTTCTACATCACCCACTGGTTCTTCATACAGACAAGTCTCCTGCTTCTGATAGGTTAGAAACAAAAATATTTTTCTGCTTTTTAGCAAGCTGTTTCTCAGCTTATTTTTTAATTAGGTATTCTTTTCAAATATTTAAACTTGCCAGGGTTTGCATCCCACCTATCTTACTACTTTTCATAATCCCTAGTTCTACAGTTAATCAAAACAAATTTAATTTTTCTAATTAGTTTTTCATTTAAAAAAAACCCCATGAGCTTTCATGGCAGCTGCTAGCTGAAGCATTCCCAAATACAGAGAGCCACTGACAAGAAAAAGATTTTATCCTTACATTTATGACAGAACATAGTAGTGCAACCCCATTATGCAAGTTTATATCAGCACAGGAGACCAGGTAACCTACAGCAAATATCAAGCACTAAAACTACCATCCAGAAAAGTCACCCTCTCACACATATGAAAGATCCTGGCCATAGGAGAACACACAATGTTACAAAAACCTGACAGAAGTAGTAAGTGTCTTCAGAGGGTCTAAAACTTAATTTGGTCTGAAGAACTTTGAGAGAAAATAGAAATATTTAAACAGAGAGCTCTGGTTTTCTACCATTTTCCAGCTCTTCAGTAAAAACTACTTGCTTTAAACCTTTAATTAAAAGATAGCCAATGAAAAGGGTTTTTATAAGATCATTGGCCTCCAGATATATCTAGGAATTGGTTCAGCCCAGAACACAAAAAGTAAAATTCTCTTAGGAGAATTATGGTTAATGGTGAGACTGAAGCAAATTCACACTTAACAGGCTTATGATTTTTTCAAAAGTGAAAAGGTTTTTGCGAGATGGGAAAAGGGATAAAACAAAAGAAAGTTTCTCTATCCTTGACTTCTTTGCCTTCACAACCTCCCAGAAAAGTTAAGATTTGGCTGAAGCAAGAAACAGCGTACCCTCATGTAGAAATGATTAGTACAGGATTCTCATTACTAGTACAAGGAGACAAGCGTGTTAATTCAGAGTACTTCTTTTCAGAGACATAAAACCCCCTATGCATTACACAGGCCAGGTGTATAGCACTCTGACTTAATCAGAAAGATGCTCAAAAACTTCAACAAGCAGTTCCACTGAAGCATGAAGAAAAGGGCTTATGAAACCTTGTAAGGCATAGCTGCCTACCCTTCATGTGGTTATGTTCTATGATAAAGGCTACATCTACACTAGCAAGTAGCGCAACTCACTAGGAATGGGTCTGTGATGAGGGTGTGACACCCTAATTACAAGGGGTGTGATCGTGAGGGAGATGTAGCACAGCGGGTACTTTAGACTCTATCACCAGTCTAATCCTATGCACTGAAATGCCTATTAGCAGTTAGAGCACCCTTTAGGACTGGTTTTACCCAAAAGGGCTTGTGTGCAACAAGAGCACTCTGACATCAGTCAAAGCACAAAAAGTGGGGACACTCATGTGGGACACTTTATCCTAGAGAAGGCTCAGGGGAGGAGCTTATCAACATATATAAATACCAGAGAGGTGGTGGCGTCTCCATCCCTGGAGATATTCAAAAGCCATCTGGACATGATCCTGGGCATGGGCTCTAGGTGGCCCTGCCTGGGCAGCGGGCTTGACCAGCTGACCTCAAGAGGTTCCCCCTCCAACCTCAACCCTTCTATGATTCTGTGAAAAAAAGATCTGACCAAAACTAAAATACTAATGTAAACACACTCATAAAATCTATTAACTAGCTTCAGACTAATGGAGACAGAAACCAGAAGGGAAGGGAAACAAGAACAAGAAGATTCACACACAAGAGCACCAGCAGTTTTTGTTGAAGGAACTGAGTTTTTGGTCACTCCAGTATCTGACACTTCTGCATCAGACACCTCTGAAGAGCAGTATTGGCAAGCACCACTCTTCAATTACAAAACCAATACTGACATCTTTTTAATATGAATTCAGATAAACAACATTTAAACTTGGCAGTCCCATTTCTGTAACAGAATCTAGGGTATTCATTAAAAGCCGATTAAGGCATTCTAAGAATACTGGACAGCAAATCCTTCTTTCTGTTCTTTTGATGTAGTGAAGTGTTCTATTGCCTTACGTTTCTGTGAGGCCATATGCCAGGTCCAGCATGTCCATCTCTTCATCAGTAATTGCATCTAGTTTCTCAAATATGTGGTCTTCAAAGATTAAATGACAAGTGGAACAGGCTAGCGTTCCTTCACACGCACCTAAAGAAAAAAAGAAATCAAGTTAACAGAAAATCAAAGTTTCAAATTACAGCGGAAGATTAAGAAGAAATCCTTTATAATGTGCTTGTTTAATACACGCAGTATCTTTTGATTAGAAAAATTAATGTTTCATATATTTCCACATTCATATATCTACTCTGCATTCAACTGTCAATAGCATTGCTACAGTTCCTACAACATTAAGATTTACTTGAATGCTACAGTTAAAATACTTAATTCCCTTTCTACCATTTAAAGAGAGAAAAGTTTTCTACTGTAAGAATGTAAAAGCTAAACAATGCTGTCAGTCAACACTACCAAATTTATTTCCAAGTTTGATCTTTCTATCCCTCTTTCCCATGGTTTTGAGTTGGTTTTCTCAAGAAGTTCAACAGAAGAAACCTGTTATATAAAAAATTCTTCAGAAGTACAGGAAGGAGGGATTTTATACTTCATATTTCTTCTCACTCAAAAAAAACCACTAATTCGCAGCAACAAAGGTAGTCAGGCTAGAGAGAGAGAGGGTCTTCTCTGTGTCATAGGCCTACATGTATTACTAGGCGATCCAGCTCAAGCCAAGGATCTAATAATTTGCAAGGGTTGAAAAGAACAAGCATCAACCACATCTACCTGCTCAAGCAATTAGGTCACCAGAGGACTGTAAAAGTTTGAGCACTAACAAATTTGTCTCTGCCACAGTATAGGCCTGGCACAGAGTTCTCCACTTTGTTGGAAACAAAACATGCAACTTCAAGATGAGGAGAGCACTGAACTCTTCATACTTGCATGGAGACTGGGGTTGGGGCACACAAACCCCCACCTCTGATTTAAATTGTTGAGAGAAGCAGGTAATACATTAGTCAAGTTTCATTTATTTACTCATTTCCAGGGAAAGCAAAACCAAGAGCATTGTGACCACATCACCTTGTACTCATAAGGAAACAGAGGAAGCAAAGCATGTATAACCACTGTTATGAAATGAAACAATGGGATTCATCATCAGACCACAGGAACCATACAGAAAGCACCGCGCTGTTAAATGTAGTAATGGTATCAACAGCATATATTCAAAGTGAGCATGACACAGTATTAGAAGACTTGATTTTTTAAAATATGTCTTCAAGTACATAAAAATGCATGTGAAAAAAAAAATAAAAATCAGACTTTATTTAAAGTGCCAAATAATGTAAAATTTGTCATATCAGTGGTTTAAGCATTTTAATGTGGGGGAGGTGAGGGGAGAAAGAAAAAACACTGAGCAGCCTATTTGCAACTGTAAAGCTAGCAGTAGCAAACAAACTGAGTGCAGCTGAATCATTCGACAGTTTTCTAAGTCTCTATACAAAGCTATTTCTATTATTACTGCACATGGGATGCCCCCTAGTGATAGAAGTAAATAGGTAAGACTTACATTTTACATTTTTTCCTCATCACTTTTTTTCCTAAACACAGAGCATACATTTGCACATTATTTATACTGCATTATTCCTCTGTCCTAGTATGATGTTTCATTAACAAATGATTATTGAAATGGGACTGGCATATGTTATAATTAAAGATTGTTACAGCATCCACAATTTTTAGTTTGGCTTCTGTTTATTGACAGCATTATTTATTATTTTTTCCCCACTTTACCACAATGCTTTAACATGGCTGGTATTTACACAAACTCAGAGAATATTTACTGGAAAATAGAAGCAGACTAGCCTTAAGTCTATATGACACATTTAATAAGTGATACATAAAGCTAGTTATCACAATGCATTACAGATGTTCACAAGACAATTCTTCTTCCCCAGTTGTATGCAACTCTAGACATAAGAGCTCTCTCAGACTGAAGTCTGAGATTTAAAAATCTTAAAGATTTTTATGACTAACAGTGAGATTTGCACTTAAATAAAACACACCTCAGATTTCAAACTGTGCTACACTAGCCTACTTGTTTTCTCCAATTGCTCGATGCTACACTCACAAAAATTGTATTTTCACTTCCTACTTTAGTTTGTACTATTAATTCTTAAGCTCATGTTCATGTAAATACCTGTACTGAGGTACTTAAGTGCCACTCTCCAATAACATGGCCTTCAATGTCCAGAATCCAACTTCAATAGAACTATGGGAAGTGCAGAAGTTTTAAGGAATACAGGTGTTAGAACTTCCTCCTATTTTGATTTTAAACAGAACTTGTACCAAATTACAATTTCACTAGGTCTCCTTTACCCCAGTCCTTTAACAAGAATTAAACCTTTTGCTCTCTTCCCTGCCAAGTGATGTGGATTTGGTTGTTTCTTTCACTGAGCACTCAAATACTACAGCAATTTGTGCTGCAAAGAAACCTGGTAATAGAGACAGTATGGCACTACAAAAGTAACCAGAGATTTTAAGAAATACACCAGTTTTGCATTGACTCCAGAACCTATTGGCTCAGAAAAGTCTGCAGGTGGCATCTTTTAAGATTCCACCTTCACAGCACTCTGTACACATTCCTCTCCTTTAACATTCAAGCAAGGTTCACCCCAACTAATTTTTTAGAACTTGACCCAAAATACTCTATGCACCTGCACGAGGAATAAAATAAAAAGGGAGAAAATCCAAATAAAGTACAGCTAGATTTTATAAATTCACAAATGTTCATTTACAGGTGGACTCAATGATCTTAAAGGCCTTTTCCAACCTAAATGATTCTGTGATTCTATAAATACTTATGAATAAAATGGTAACTCAATTTCTAGACACTGAATACAGTGAATCTACTTACCAAAACCATCTATGTCTAGATTATTATCAACAACAACATCCAGCAGTGAATCCCCAGGTTTTCCTTTGGCTGTTAGCTTGTCACCATCACGATTTATGAAATGGACAGTTATTTTATCTTCTGAGCTGAAAAAGAAAAGTTTAAAATGGAATTGAAGCAGGAGTTCTAGAAATTTTTATATCTTTAAAACAGATTGAATACTACTAAACTATCAACTCTAAGACCACAGAAACCTAAGTTATTGTCTTTTAGAAGCTGCAACAGGTACAGGCATTTATTGCTGTACATTGAACAAAGGCCATGAAAAATAAGAAAAAAACCCTTCGTTTGTGTTTTGTCACTAGAAGCTATATGGGATCCTGATGTTTTGCCTTTCACCAAAGAGACTCGAGCTATTTTATATTAGGTACAATATAAACAAGCTTATTTTAAAGGCTTCTCTCGACACCTTTCTGCAGGCTCTTGCTTTGGATTTATAAAATTTTATTTGTTCTCATCATTATCATTTAGTACAAATTTTACTGCTTAGAGCTTAAGACATTTTACTTTGTTAGTTCCACAATTTAAATCACCTCTCCTCCCCCAAAACGGAAATACTCCAGAAGCATTCTGCTTTTTTTTTGTGCAACAGATTCTCTTAGGATTTCATGTTGTAAATATTAATTCTAGTGAAGTTCAAAGTTTTGACACTGACTTCAAAGAGAGAAAGTTTTGTATTTTCCTGCTTTGCTTTTCAGATGATTATGTTTACTTAAAAAAAAAAGTCTCTTGCAGTCTGCATAGAACTTTAAGAATAAAGCTTTTAATATAGAAAAAAAGAGGAATTTTTTTTGTGTCCTGTATTATGTTAGTTCACATACAAATTAAAATTTAATATAATAATAAATAAAATACAGTCTGTTTTTAAGCAATCATTTTCTTTCCTATACTAAGTGAGCAAAACAAGAAAAACTTGTTGGTCTGTGATGAAACCTGTTAAGAGATGAGAATACAAACAGAGCAACTGAAAGCTAATGCAAAAATTTATGTTTCAATGTGAAATCCATGTTTAAGAACAGCATGCTTAATATTACCTTTAATCTTTATAGCAAATGTGGGCCTTGAGTGATTTATCATATGGAACGCATACAAGCTTGAATATCAAATTTCCCCCTGGAAAACTCTAACCTGGAGAGCTGAATTTGAAAGTGGCCATACTGAAGCATCAGTGAACAGATTATTTTTGGAACTGGCTGTAAAAGAAAATGTGGTTTTAGCCATCTGAGTCCTAGCTTGTTTTGAAAAACAACAAATGTTTGTTGCTCTAGACTTAATCTACTTCCCACAACTGCAAGCTCAGTTGGCACCAGTACGTGCCATGATTCATTATGATGTCATGTTCAATCCTTGTCATATTATCCCTCAGTCCATCCTCCAGAAGGCAGCCACAAGCTACCATTAACTACAAATTCATTCCAAAATGATCATCAATAATGAAGGATTGACCTTGTTGATCTACAGAATGCAACTGAAGCATGCACTACAATAAAATTCAGAAACATTAAAGATATATCTTTACAACATGTAATTCATGTTGCACAGTCACCTGTGATATCAAAGGACCACCTCCAGCAAACCATTCTATGGGTGTTTAAGTTACCACTCTGGTCTTCATTTTGCTCCTCTGCTGTGCTAACACCTCCCACAGCACAATCAAGGAAACAAGCACTTCTTAAATGTACTAGTACAAAATTCACCACCTCCACCGGTAGCTCAAGACTGATGGGTTTAGATGGCATCTGGAAAGGTATAGATTTACATTCTGACAGTCAAAGTAAACTACTGACAGTGTAATTTTAAACTGCTTCCAAAAGTCCTTCCAGAACTCACTGAAATACACCCTCCTTTACCGAAATTTTTCTGTCAGCATGACAACCACAACCCTGACAGGACACACAATGCAAGATACACTTTCATTTATAGGCAGGCATTCTCTGCCCAAGGTATAGACATGGCAAGTACTAAACATTTGTTCAATATCCAAAACATACCCTTTCCTTTATTATAGGATGAGGCAATCACAAGAAATATGGTGTTTTGCTGATCTAGGATGCCAATTAAACTCAGACACCAGAGTGAAAAGCGTAGGCTTATTTTAATAACCAAGTAACACAGAAAATAACCAGTGAGAAAAATACGAAATAGTATCCTTAATTATTACTACATAAATTACAGAAAACAAGAATAAGCAAGGTAACGCACCTCATCATTACTACATGATGGGGAGAATAGTGATTAAGAAAGATAGATCACCACTTACATACGTTACCAACATCCAGATCCAGGGGAGCCCTGGTTGCAGCAAGGATTTGGAGTACCTTTCCCTGCAAGTGAGAAGTCCTACGTGATGCATTCATCTGTAGCTGAGGCATCCAAAGTCGCTGCAAGAGGGTCCAGCCTTATATACCAAAAAATCAGCAAGTCAAAATGACCGGCACCTTTGTTTTGAGTGGAAACATCTGGTTTCATCCTCTTGTTAGATTCCACCCAAGGCCTGGCCAGAGCTCAGGGGTGCAGGGGGGAGAACCAAGGGAGTTTCCAACAAGGTCAAACACTTGGGTTCTCAGCCTTTAACAAGGCCATACAAGGAAACCTGGATACATTCTCATGACATTTCATCCTGACTCTTGACTATATTTTGTCTAAACTACATCTTTCACTAATGAACATACATATTTCGTTAATGATCTGATACTAATAATAAGCGCTAATGGTAATACAGATTTTACTAGTTAGCAGATTCTAATAATGGATAACATTTGGTTGTGAGGTTCATCTTTGTTTCAGAGCCTGTTATTCAGGACCTAGCACTACACATGGATTGAACAGCAAGATGTCTGCCCATCCATTAGATCAGTGGAACCTTTGTAAAAGACAAGTCGTCCCCCTCCCAATTTTCACAACACACCTGAAACTGTCTTCATCTGTGCCTACACTTTAATCTGGCATAACACCACAGTGTCACAAGAAGAACAGTCCAGCCCTCCCTCCTTTGTTCCTTTTTATCTCTAGCGCTCACACTGTCATGCAGTAAACTGGCTCTGGAGACAAAATTGGCTGAAACTCAACCTTCACATATGAATGTCAGAACCCGTACAGGGTCAGATCTGCCCCTTAAATGAAATTTACATCAGCTTGAAAAAATTGTGTTACTACAACTTTAGAATGCAATAACATAACCTAAACTTCATGATCAGCTTAAACTGATCTTTCTAATATAAAAATGTGGGTTTGGGTGATTCACACTCCAAACTGCCCTGCCTACACCGATACTATCACAAGTCAACTCATTTCGATAATCTGGCTGAAAAAAAATCAACCGTAAAAACAGAGTAGTCCCAGATGAACCAGCAAGCAAAACTGACAGAATTGCCACTGCCCACAACAAAAATGAGGAAAGAGGAGTGGGATCCCCTAGTAACAATCTTACATGAGCTTCAGGCAGTTGTAGAACTGCAGCATGGCTGTGCATGCCTAACCAGTGCAGCATGCAGCAAGGGGACAAACTGAAGTACCACCATTAAGTCACCAACTTTTGTTAAAGAGCACTATAGTAATTAATCTTTTCTACAGGACCTAATTCACCCTGGCTGATAAATGAAACTAAAAGCTATTTGTAATTAAGTTAGAGATAGCCTTAAGTCTTCCAGTAGAATCTGTTCTTCTGCTATTGCCATCTTTACCATTCTTCACATAGCCAAAATGTTTAATTAAGAAAAAAAAAAAAAAATCACTGAGGTTTTATTGTGCATGAGTGAGTGGTGAAAGTACTTTCAGAAGTGTGTGTACATAATATCAGACATTCAAAACACACACTGTGCAGATCTTTTCAATAACTGGGAGATACCATTAAAAAATAACAACCAACACACCTGCATGAAACAGCATTCAGTCTTTATAAATTTCAAGTAACATGGCTTTTGTCTACCTAGACATTGTTTGCATGAGGAAAAAAAACAACCGAACACCACCATACTGTGAACTAGTCACAGACAATTAACATGAAACACGTGCCAGGTCTATGGAACTATAAATAGCCTCAGGAAGAACAAAACATATTTTGTGTAATCTGCATAAAGCACAAATATCCCAATTCACGCTCAGATGAACCTTTTTTACCAGATGTAAAACACAATTTATTTCTTGATATGGTTGCTACAGTACTATCAGCTTTGTTATCAAGCTTCACTACCCTAAATTAAGCATACTGCAAATGCACAGAGCACCAGAGAACTGTAAATGCTGTTCATTGTTTCTCCCATGCAAAAAAGAGCAAGTACTGCAAGATTCCTGACAGCTACCCTTAAAAAAAAAAGTATCCTTCTGAATCTTCAGCTATTACTTTCAAGTTAAGCATCACCTTTTACATTCCTCCAAACAAAACAAAGATAACAACTGTAGCCTGAAGTAGCACATGGTGAGACCAACTCTATTATTACCAGATCTTTTATTAAATGGTAAATCTAACAGCCCTCCCTAATTGCCTGAAGAGTTTAATGAATGAAACTATTATACAGGGCTCAATTAAAATGCGGAAGTTATAAATCTGAACTAATCTTTAAAGCATGCAGTAATTATGTTGTGCACCAAAGGTACTGTGCAGCTATCTGAACTGGTATAAAAGAATTCTAAGATAATTACTGTTCACCATAAAATGAAGGATAGCGGATAAAAGTGGAGCAAGAGAAAGAATGAAACGGAAATGAAAACGGAACACCTGATGTTTCACTGAAACGCCTGGAAACCTCTGCTCACAGGAATCACCTCAGCTGATGATTTTATACAGCTAGGTCTTCATGCTCTAGACACAAATACAGTTAACTCTACACATAAAAACAATACTATATCTTTTTACTGGAATAACACTGACTATATAAAGTTCAGGATCTGGGTCTCAAATACAATATCCAGAAGTTGTAGGACTAGAGAAAACAACCTGCACATAAATGGAGAAAACGCTAACATTGGAAAGAAACAAGGATTTTTCTTTTTCTCCCAAATCACTCAGCCAGGTTGTATAGAATATATATACAAAACATCTGAGATACTTGCTTGTGTGAGCTCTTTTGCTGGTGTGCTTGGGCAATGAATGTGAATAAATTGCAATCTGTATTCAGTCTGTGAAAGACCTGAGGGATTACAAGTCTAACATTAAGACATTAATGTTTTCCCTTTTTAGTATTGTTTTCCCTCCCATTTTTACCCTGTTCAGTAATTTTACTAACTTTTAAAAACTTGAAAATACTTCACAAAGGTATTTTGTTTTTTTGAATTAAAAACCGTGAGTCAGGGACCTCACAATAACTGATCACCAGGGCAATCATTCAGTGGACACTTAGAGTCCTAGATCAAAGTTAGTCTCTCCACATTAAAAGTATCTGCTGGAACAAAGTAAGAGAGCACATACAGGAGAGTTTAAAAGCAAATTATTGAAACAACTTTGATGGCAAGGGCACTACCCAACTATCTGGAAACAGGCTAGGCTACACCACCTGGTGTTGGGCATCCGAGTGCAGGTCCTGTTCCAAGTCAAAGAAACTTCTCCAGCAAGCAAGTAAATTAAGCTTTTAAAGCTTCTGTATTTTAAATGCTGACAGTTAACTGTAGACTCTGACCTATCTTTGACTATACAAGCCAGAAGACCATGCATAAACACAGTCTGAATACACGTACCAAGCGGCAAATCTGTAGCTGTGGGCTGTGGAATATTAAATGTCTACAGATTTAATGCATTCTGAAACACCTACTCATACATACTGGTGAAGAGAGGAGGGGTTCTGCACACTTAGATGTACAAGTGGTCTTCAGTAAAGAAAAGCTATACCAAAGGCAGAAGAGATCTTCAGTATTGAGTTCTCGCTGATATGTGCTCTACTTTCTACCAGAAGGCTAGGAGACTTTCACCAGGAAAAAAAAAAAAAAAAAAAAAAAAAAAA